TCATCATCATCATCATCATCATCATCATCATCATCATCATCATCATCATCATCATCATCATCATCATCATCATCATCCTCATCCTCATCCTCATCCTCATCCTCATCCTCCTCATCCTCCTCCTCCGCCTCCTCCTCCTCCTCCCCCTCCTTCTGCTCCTCCTCCTCCTCATTCTGCTCCTCCTCCTCCTCATTCTGCTCCTCCTCCTCCTCATTCTGCTCCTCCTCCTCCTCATCCCTCCTCCTCCTCATCATCCCCCCCCTCGTGCGCGCACATGCCTCGGGCCACGATGAGCCTGGGTCCAGGGGATGCGTTGAAAGAAAACAAAAAAAAGGGCTGGCCATCAAATGCAGGCGAATCTAAAACAGAAGAACATCCCTCAAAAACACCAGGCCCCACGCCGGTCAAAATACATGGAACATCCAAGGGTACCCTCCCCAGGGTGCACGAGAACATCCAACAAACACGAAGAACACAAGGGTACCCTCCCCGAACCGACCTCGATCTTCTAGCTCGGTCCGACTGTATGAGAGATACCATGGCCCCAACCACGATGTCCACCTCCTCCCAGTCCGCAACCCCCGATGTCGGAATCGGATCGGATCGGGCCAGCCAGGATCGACAGCGGGTCAGACCGGTCGGGTCGAGAATGGACCCCAGGATGGGGAAAACCAACAGGTACCGATAGCTCTACTCCCCAGACCTCTCCCCAGGTCCGTTCTGACCAGAACCTCGAGGCGAATCCAGCCGTGGCGACGAGGACCCCCCAGGAGGCCCAGGAAGGCGGACACGAGCGAAGGGGGGCGGTGTGGGTACCTATTCCTCCGCGAGGGGGGGCGGCGGAGTGGGCGCAGGCCCAGCGCATCATCCTGCGGCTCTGGGCTCCCCAGGGAGGAAGACACGGGCCGCCCAGCAGGCGCCGGCGGCGCCTGGCGCGCGGCGCGGGGGCGGGGGGCGTCCGTCCCCATGCGGGGGGAGAGTTGCTCGGAGGTCCTCGGAGGCTTCCAGGTCCACCTCTGCCTCAGCCTCCTCGCTTTCGCTCACGGCTCTTCCTCCTCCTCCTCATCCTCCTCCTCCTCCTTCTCCTCCTCCTCCTCGGCTTCCTCCCCCTCCTCTTCCTCCTCCACCTCCTCCACCTCCTCCGCCGCCTACTCCTCCTCCTCCGCCTCCGCCTCCGCCTCCGCCTCCGCCTCCGCCTCCGCCTCCGCCTCCGCCTCCGCCTCAGCCTCCGCCTCCGCCTCCGCCTCCGCCTCCTCCTCCGCCTCCGCCTCCGCCTCCGCCTCCGCCTCCACCGCCGCCGCCGCCTCCGCCTCCTCCTCCTCCGCCTCCTCCTCCGCCTCCGCCTCCGCCTCCGCCTCCGCCTCCTGCTCCGCCTCCGCCTCCGCCTCCGCCTCCTCCGCCTCCGCCTCCTCCTCCTCCTCCTCCTCCTCCTCCTCCCCCTCCTCCGCCTCCTCCGCCTCCTCCTCCGCCACCGCCTCCTCCTCCCCCTCCTCCTCCTCCTCATCCTCCTCCGCCGCCTCCGCCTCCGCCCGCCTCCTCCTCCTCCTCCTCCGCCTCCGCCCTCCTCCTCCTCCTCCTCCTCCTCCTCCTCCTCCTCCTCCTCGGCCTTATCCTCCTCCTCCTCCTCCTCCTCCTCCTCCTCCTCCTCCTCCTCCTCCTCCCCCTCCTCCTCCTCCTCCCCGCCCTCCTCCTCCTCCTCCTCCTCCTCCTCCTCCACCTCCTCCTCCTCCTCCTCCTCCTCCTCCTCGTGAGCTGCTCTCCTCGTCAGCCGATGATCGACGCTAGATCGGCCTCTCTCGTCGATCATCACACGCTGGCGCACTCTAAAGACGGAATCGCGAAGACATACAAGGCTCACACGATTTGCTACCGAAACGAGATCCGACTGGAACGGGATCTACCCCCACCCTGGGAGGCAGGACGTAAATCTACCGGCAGGGGGCGGGAACTGGCCGCCGAGATCAAGCCGGATCGATCGACTCCGTCAGGATGCACAGACAGCGCCACGCGGGCCTCGGGCCGCACCGACAATCGCCAGATCGTCGACTTCGGTGCGCCGACGAGGGAGGCCAGGGAGACGGAAGGGGGGGCGCTTCATGGCACGTGCGCCTGATCCTCCTCCTCCTCCTCCTCCTCCTCCTCCTCCTCCTCCTCCTACTCCTCCTTCTCCTCGTCAGCCGCTCTCCTAGTCAGCCGCTGATCGACGCTAGATCGGACTCTCTCGTCGATCATCATACGCTAGCCCACGCTAACGCACTATAAAGACGGAGTTGCGAAGACATACAAGGCTCACACGATTTGCTACCGAAACGAGATCCGACTGGAACGGGATCTACCCCCACCTTGGGAGGCAGGACGTAAATCTACCCAGTAGGGACGGGAAGTGGCCGCCGAGATCAAGTCGGATCGATCGACTCCGTCAGGATGCACAGACAGCGTCCCGCGGGCCTGGAGCCGCACCGATAATCGCCAGATCGTCGACTTCGGTGCGCCGACGAGG